TATGTAAGCATACCATACTTCCTCTTTTGTAGCAGAGCTAATTAGGTCATCTGAAGAAGTGGACTGTGCCCATGAAAGCTCATGATACCATCTACATGTTTTGTCAGTCTTTAAAGTGATACCAGACTATTCGTTGTTTTTTAAGTTTATCCTGTACAGACTAACTCAGTTACCCCTCTGAAGCTTCAGAATCAGTAGTTAGTTAGTTGTCTTGTACTCAGCAGATTAAGTCTACATTTTGCGGTCTATTTGTTGAAATTCTTCTGTGTACCTTTGAGTCTGGTAAATTAGTACTAGCCGTTTGTTAATGTATTTTAAATTTTACTCCGTCAGAAAAGCTTAACTCCTAAAATTATTTAGATGGATCCTCAGTATATTTTTCACTGGACAAGTGTCTTTACCACAAAAATCATCATCTCTGTTGGTAGTAATTGCCCTGTAGTGTGTCGTTTGCAGCTATATCAGCCATTGAAAACCTGTCCCGGTTCTTATATCTGGCTTCTTGTTGCCCCCTGTGGTCATTCTACAGTATTTAGGTCCCTCCTACCAGACCTCTCCCTTTCCATTTTATGAGAAACAAGCACATTGTATTGTCCTGGCACAACCAAATCCTTACCTTACTTTAATATATAAAGGAGAATGTTTGTATGTTTGTGCTAATAAGTTGGGCACTTTAAGAACTACTGCAACCAAACTTTGCATGGGGTAACCTTTCCTCCAGGAGAAGGTTTTAAGGTACTTTGGCAGTGCGGGGAGAAGTGGCTTCCCGGGAGAAGCAGCGGGGACAATCACTCACTAAGACTGGCGGCAGAGGTGCAAGGGGAGGGGAGGCACTCCGAGCAGCAGCTGCCACACTTGCCTCTACCAGGCTGTTCCACTGCGCAGGTGCATCCGGGGCGAGGGAGCTCCCTCCTGCCCATAATGTCACTCGGCCCGTCCCAGGCCCGCCCCTCCAGCGGTGGCCGAGGGTTGCCGAGTGGCGGGCTGGGACGGTTGTGGGCGCAGCGGGGAGGCTGCTGTGGCGGTGGTGCTGGGAGTGGTCTGGGGTCTGGCACAGCTTCCTGGTCGCGTGGCAGGGAGCCCGGCACCTGCTCGCTGCAGCCCTTGGGAGAGGGGAGCCCCCGGCACGGCCCCATGGTACAGCTGGTAGTGGGGCAAAAGTTTTAGGGCGGGCGGTGGGGTAATTGCCCGCCGCAGCACCTGTAGCCACGGGTGTAAGCTGGGCCGTCCCGCCCACCACAGGTCCCGTACTCACCCCCTCCCACCTGCCCCTCACACGGGGCACCCGCGGCAGGACCCTATCACCCGCCCCGAGCAACGCCGGATAACTCCAGCTAGTTTATGGTAAGAGGAAGCTGCATACCAAATTTGGTGGTCTGAGCTCTTAACATTTAAGAGGAGTTCTTGAACAAACAAACTCACAGATGCACAGACAGACAAACACACACGCATTTCTAAAATATTATGTAAGATAACAGTTTTCAAGCTAGAGGATTTCAACTCCAAAGCTGCATAAGTACTAAATTAAGACAAACTTTTTTTTTTTTTTAGAAGAAAGGGCTTAACTCTGTTTCATTCTCCATTTTGACAAAGTCCTGCTTTTATAGTATGCATGTCGGGTTGCATGAAGCATGAGAAGAGCCAAGTGATTTCTTTGTGGTCACACTGTGAAACATTGGCTGAAATCCTTTAGGCTCTTGTGTTCTTGCCATAATCAATAGTGAAACACTGAATAAAATGGTTTGCATGTGTTTGCTGGGTATAGAGTTGTGCTGGAATGATAAAAATATGAATGGAAATTGCATATTCTATTGAATACAGAATCTTAAAGGGAGCTAAGAATCCCAAATTATTATGCTGTAAGGTTTTTCCCCATTTCAGTCATGCTTAAATCTCAGTAAACTCTAGGGCAAACATAAATAACACAGATGTTCTTGAACTGAAAGGTTAAGCTTATCTCAGTCTCTCTTGGTCAGACTGCAGTTCATTGAATAAACTTTTTATCAGTACTGTAAGTAAAGGTCACAAGCATTTACCATTTATAGTTGACGTTAATTATGCCACACAACTTATTTTTATATTAGTGCAAAAAGGAAGCAATGAAGTATAGCTAACATATAGTCTGTTACTGCTTGTGGGTGAAAAATTTAGTTTAACACAGTATATTATGTTTGTTATATGGGCTATATCAATATGTAACTTCATTGGTCTCTGTTTTGTTACTGAATATTAATTGTTTAGGCATTTGCTAGGGCCCCTATCAGGGTTCCCTCTAAGCTGTGGGGCAGCAGAGCTTCAGAGGTGATAATCATTCCAGCACACTCAGTCAGCTCTGTTCATGGAGCCTGGAGCCTCTGACTGATTGGGGCTTATTAATCACCTGTGAAGCTGTGCTGCCCCACTGCTTAGAGGGAACACTGGTCCCTATGCACGTCTGTGTTTGGGTGTATCTAACTAAGTTAATTTTTTTTAGTAATCAGTGGGTTCATCTTATTGAGTTTGTTCTCATAAGTTCTCATTTCCAGCAAATTGCAAATGCTGTGTGTTTGCCTGTCTGCAGCCTATATAAGTAGCATTAATACCTTGCAACCTGGAAGTAGTAAGTCAAATAGAACCCCATATTGCAAAATCTACTCAAAATTAACTTTTGATAACTATACGGGACTTGCTTTTAGAGGAAACTCACCCAGTTTCATCCCTATTTAACATTTTGTGAGTGCATCAGATAATGAGGTATTCAAATGGTAAGATTTGCACCAGCAATTATCTGTGCACCTAAAAATATGGTACTGAAAATCTAGCCAATGGCTTTTGATTTTGGACTCCTTGCAATTTCCATAGGACTTTGTGTGTCACCATTTCAAATACTCAGTGTTCAATATGAATATAAAGCTTTGTTAATGTAAACTTAGCTTGTCAATTAAAATAACTATTACAAAATGATATAGTGAGAACAGTTGTCATTAAAGTATAATCACTGATCAGTTAAGATAGTGTAAGTAAAGACTGCAATACTCCATCTGTTTATGAGACAATTCATATAGCACAGTCTAATACCAGCCTTAACTCTGTCTGCAAACATAACACATGGCTTTTCTAGTTATGTGAAGTTTCAGATACAGATGGAACAGAGAAGAAAAGTTGAGATCCAGATCTAGATTCAATCCTTTGAAAAGTTTGTGCAGTTAAGGATCTAACCAGAGTTAATATTGTAGTGAGAGTATCCCGTATGAATTTTCACACTTTGTGTGCAGCTGTAGGGTTAATGTTGTTTATGAGCTGGACATGAATATAACCATTTTATACTAGTTGGGAATCAGTTGTGTATTCATGTGCCTTTCTGCTATGATGAAAAACTCTAATCAAGTTACTAGTAAGGTGAATGCGGTGGCTATGCCAGCCCCTACCCCCACATTTTTCCCTCTTAAAAGGATATGAAAATCTTCAATTAATCATAATGGGACTTCTGTCCCTGTAGCTCTATGGAACTAAAGGATCTTTCCGGGGTGGCTTGAATTTTTGCTGACATAAAATTTTGGGAGGATTATTACTGAGAAAAACTTAAGAAAAATAAAATTCTCAGGATTTGAATGTCGTAACTTCAGGTCTATTGACGGGGGGCAAAGAGGGCAATTGTCCCGGGACCAGTGTCTCCTCTAAGCTGCATGGCAGCACAACTTCACCGGTGATTAATCAGCCTCCCCCCCCCCCCCCCCCCCCCCCCAGTCAGTCAGCTCCCTGCACAGAGCTCTGAGCCGCTGACTGGGCAGGGCTGATTAATCACCTGTGAAGCTCTGTTGCCACATGTTTAGAGGGAACACTACCCAGGACCCAGGTATTCTAAGGGATCTGGGGTCCCTGGCCACTGCTACTGAGGCAGTGGTGGCAGTGAGAGCTCTTCCTCTCTTTGAATTGCCAACAGCACAGCTCTGCCACTCCACAAGACTGAAGGCCAGGTTGGTGCTAAGAGCTGGCTTCCCTCACCCCACCTCTTCTTCCCAAAGCCCAGCCACTTCCAGGGTGTGGAGCTGGCCTTCCCACACCTTGCCCCCGGGGCCCATGGTGGCTTTTGGGCCCGTTGGGTACCTTCTATGATAGGGCTATAACACTAGATTAAGTAGCCCCATTAGACTCTGAAAAGTTTCAATTGTTTGGGCAATGGAGAATTATTAGCTTGCTTGGAGTGATGAGTTCTGAGCACCAATTATAATTGGTCCACTTTTATTAGATGCCTCAATATTGAGTTAGGAATTTTGGGGAGATTTTCAAAGGCAGAGAGGGTAGTTAAGGACTTAATTTTCATTACAAGTCCTTGGTTATTGAGAGTGTGTCTTTAAAAATCTGCTCTTAGCTTTTGGCACCCAGCTTCGAAAATTTTGGTTATCATCATAAATAGTGCTAACAACTTTGATGCTTTTTAGTTTTTAAAGCGCCTATATAGCTATCTTAAAGTTTCAGGGTTAAAACAAAGTCTTCTATAATTATAAAAGCATTAGACTCCAGTTCTTCAGTTTTGAAAATGCATGATTTTTTTAAAACTTCTGAACTATTAAAAGTATTTACTCGTAACTTTCCCCAAAACTGCTTCTGACAGGTAAGAGTAAGTGGTATAATTCTGGTTATAACAAACATTTCTTTTGTCCGTAATGATGATAAAACCCCACTTACAAGAAAAAATGAAGGGATTTGTAGCTTTGAAGTCTCTGTGAATGAATGCCTCTATAATACGGTACTCATGTGTAACATTTTCCCTATGAAGTACTCATGTGTTGTGATATTTTCTTTACTAGTACTTTTTGTTTACACGTTCTTCACCTGAATGCTGTATGTGAATGTGTAGGACTCTGTTTTGTCTTATTCCAACAGATGGATACATGTTGATATATATACACAGTGAGCCACCTACTTCCCCAACTGAATGCTGAGTCATTTGAATGTTATGAAAACTCAAGGTGTTGTCTGAGTAAATCCCTAAATATAATCATTTCTTTTCTTTACAGCTGCATAAAAGAGAAGTGTTAGGAGCTGCCCTTAACCCTTTTGAAGTCAGAAGAGAAAAGGTAATTTTAAGCAATGTTTTCTGGGTATTTAAGTGTACAGGTTGTATCTGCTTGACAGTGCTATTTAACTAGCATACTCAGGCTGACGGTTGTAGAAAACTCAAAAATGAAAACTATGTCAAGCAGGAGGGATGCTGAGACAGGAGGCAGAGAAGAAACATTACAAGAAATTTTTGCTAAAGTTTGTAAATTTTGTCAGAAGTTACACAAGAATGGTTTACAAATTGGAAACCATCAATAATTATATATATACACACACAAGTTCACAAATGTAAGGAACTCAATGGGATTTTCAGAAGTATTTAAAATTGACGATGATGCAATAGATAATATATGTGTATGTATTTAAGTTTTTTTAATTCAGTGAGAAATGCATCTCCTTTTTCAGATGAGAATCCTTTAGTGAGAGTTTTGCCTGAGCGAATAAAGTCTTAACAAGTAATTAAAATATTCAGTTATTTTACTTCTGTGTATAACAAAGCATTGACAATATTCAAACGTGAACTTTGTAGACACAATATAGTTTTGCATTTTCTATCATTCATCTTGAAGAGGTGAAATATTTCCCAAGACCTTTCATTTGAACTTGTAAAGGAGTAACTTTGATTCTGTTCCTGTTCCTTCTAACAAATATTTGAGTGAGCAAACTTACACGCAGAGCTGTCTGTGAAAACAGCATATTTTAAGCAAATATTAGAGAATATTCACAGAAAGCAAATTTTGAATTATCATTGAAAATTAGTTGCACTTGAAACAAGATGCTGAGAGCTACTCATCCTGTCAGAGAAAACATATGATTTATATGTCCAGTCAAAACATCTTATCTTTCAAATATAAGTGCTCATAGTGATCTGCCCACAAATGCGTTACAGACTTCAAATTATTCAAACAGATTCTTGGGCAAATAATTTTCAATAACAAGTTTATGAGAATAATGCATAGATAATTCAGGAGCATATTTTAAAAAGTAATTGGTTAACTATTGTTAGCTGACACACTCTGGTTATCTTTCCCAGGCCTGAAGAAGAGCTCTGTGAAGCTTGAAATCTTGTCTCTTCCACCAACAGAAGTTGGTTCAATAAAATATATTACTTTATCCACCTTATCTCTCTTAAATTGTTATCAGTCATTTGCTCAGCTGTAATTAGCATTTGCAGCATATAGTTCTCCTGTTTTAGAAGTAAGAGCCACGCTGTTGCCTGGTGCTGCATAGTGATGTTAAAATCATTCAATACCATAACCATGTAACAGCTAAAATTGTTAGTGATTATGTGGTTAGAAGAACTGAGGGCACTGCAATATAAACCTTAGCTGCCTTTCTGCCAAGCTCCCAGGGAGGTGGCTTTGGTGCCCTGCTACAGCTAAGCCACCTTGCTCAGTAGCCGGCTGGGTTTAACCGATATCATTAACCAGTAAGCCTCACCTTATCAGTTAAATGATTAATCGGGTAAACTCTAATGCTAGTGCTTCATTGTTGCCTAGGTCATAAATAGAAGGCGGACATGTTCTTCTACCCCACCCATGCTACTCTTCTAGATCTGGCTGTAAATGGGTTTGGAGAAAGGGAGAGCAGGATCTGTGTAGTTGGTGTGTTCTGTCACCCTTTCCCCAAAGTATGAGAGTGGGGAGAAAGGGAATAGGAAATGGGGGACCTTATGTTGTGTCTCCCATCTGTGGTGGCTCAGACAGGGAAGAATCGGATAATCTATTAAACTGCTATAGCGAGTTACTTTCCCCAGGAACCAGGCAGAGAATTTTGACCTTGAAAGACAGTTCCTTTCCTGAGCTCTCCATAAAGTGATTGCATCTGCTCCTCAGCACTTATTCAGGGCTGAGCCTAAAGACTAATTCTAACGCTTTCCATTTAATTGTTTCCAACAAAATTTGTTTTTTAAAAATAGGGCCCAGTCCTGCAAAGTCGTATATATGTATGTCTTTTTAGGCACAGTGAGTTGTCCTATTGAAGTCAATAAAACTAGTTGCAGTATTTAAAGCTAAGCAAGCAAGTAAGTGTTTAGAAAGTTGGAGACCTAGTTTCTAATTTCTTTTTTGCTGAAAGTGTGGGAAAACATTTGTTAAAATGTATTTGGTTTATGGGATCTTCCCCAATCATCTGGCAGTTTGAGAGAAGCAAAATATGAATTTCTGTTTATCCACAAAAATCCACAATGTTGTTAGGTGCTTAACTGTAAGGCACGAAGAAGACTGGACTGTTATCATTTTTCTTTTTACAGGCATGCTTAAACCTTCCAGCTAGAAAAGGATAGGTTATATAATTTATTACAGAGTAGTAAACTGTAGCTTATATTACATTACACTGGAAAGGGAGACAGGAGATCCAACAAACCTGCATATGTGTGTGTCTCTATGTGGGTATGTCTAGACTACATGGCTCCGTTGATGGAGCCATGTAAACTAGTTTACCCGGAATAGTCAATGAAGTGGGGATTTAAATAACCCCCGCTTCATTGAAATAAACTTGGCCGCCGCGCTGTGCTGACGATCATCAGATCCGGCACAGCGTGGCAGTCTAGACGTGGATCTGTTGGCTGGGGAAGCCTTTGCCGACCGAATCTGTAAACCTTGTTTCATGAGGCATAAGGGATCGGTCGGCAAAGGCTTCCCCAGCCGACAGATCTGCGTCTAGACTGCTGCACTGTGCCGGATCAGCTGATCGTCAGCACAGCGTGGCGACCATGTTTATTTTAATGAAGTGGGGATTATTTAAATCCCCGCTTCATTGTCTATGCTGTGTAAACTAGTTTACATGGCTCCATCGACGTAGCCATGTAGTCTAGACATACCCTGTCTGTCTGTGTAGCATGGACCATGTGTGCAAGTGAGTTATGGGGTGTGTGAACTCATATAATGTCTTCACACTTGGGCATGCCTCAGACATTTCACGTAGTGATAAATTATACAGGTTTTTCAGGAGCTAGCAGCAGTTCTTTCACCTAAATGTCAAAATTGACAAGATTTTAACTCAAACCTCAGCAACAACTTTGTATTTTAAAGCAAACAGCCAAAGATCTGGGCTCCAACTGTGGTCAACATAGTGCAGAATTGCTTTCCCACCTCTTTAATTCTCCCTGCTTTTATCTCTCTAATTCCGAGGAGCACAGTTGCAGTGCAGATAAGCTATAAATCTATGTGGAAGTATGATTAAAGAGCAGGAAAATTTGTAGAAAACATTGAGATTTCTGGCATTTGAATCTCCTCAGGGAAGTTTTTTTTTATAGTTTTCCAGGTGCATCTAATCAAGTTTCCCCCTAATTTTTAAGACCTCTAATATGTTGGAAGGATGGGTTGTGCAAACTCCTAATATGAATTCACCTGTTTCCATATTTTCACCTCTATGTTTCCCTCTGCCTCTGGAGGTATTGGACAATTGCAGCCTTTGTTGGCTGCGCATCACGATTGGCCAATGAGAACTGTGATCAACCTGCATAAGTGCAGGTAAACATAGTGGCGGTGAGGTGCCTTTTTTTTTATTACCTACCCCTGGCCTAGCAGCTTCCAGTACTCCATCTGAAAAAGGGCTTCTAAAATTCTGGATTTTTTTGTCCTTGAGCAAATTTGAGACAGCATATACAACAGCACATTTTGTTAAAACAACTATTTTTGGAGAGTCTTAGTCCCCCCCCCCCCCCCCCATTCTAACACTGCCTCTTTAAAATCATTAAAGTAAATGAATAATCCACACAGAGAGAAAAGTCTTTCTGAGGGAGAGAGTTTGTTGAAGGAAGAATTTGTGTTTTTGTAAATAGTTTCTTTCAAGGTCTTGTTAAATAAACAGCCAAAGCTTCTTTTGGAAAATAAAAAATAAACCTATAACTTAGAAGATGTCTATGTAAATCTTTGTAGCTGAGCAAATTTAAATCACTGACAAACTTAAGAGCAGGATAGGATGACTCCACCTTCTTAACATGGGAGATCAAACATTTCTGCTGGGTGTTTATGCTCAGAGACAACTCTGGAACAAGTACAGCTGTTTTTGTGGTAGGTTTCCCCTTAATATACTACTTTATAATTCTTAGAAAGCCTTCTATGTAGCGGTTGCACAAAGGGTTATGAATTTCCTGATTTGATTTTGTTTGCTTGTCTTCTTTTTTTTTCATAGTAGACTGTGAGTTGTAGATAAAAAACAAACAGGAAGAGTGGCTATGAGGTGTAGGGATGTTAAATAGACAATGGACAATATCAAGTAGTCAATTAGTCCATATAGGGTTTGCTGGGCTTCTGCTTTTTAAATGTGGTAAGAGCTGCCAGCTACATTTAGAAGGCAGAGGCACAGGGTGTAGGATCCAGCGCAAGCCGGGACAGCTGACATATCTTGCGCCTCTACTTTTTAAAGAGCACTGGTGGCTCTTACTACATTTAAAAAGCAGAGCCGCGGCATGTGGGACCTGCTCAGTCCCAACTCACACCATTTCCCCCACTGGGCCTCTGCCTCCCCTGTCCGCTGTGGAAACAGTGCTGGGGGGAAACCGGCTTTTGAGCTTGCTCCCTCCAGCACTGGCTCCTGCTCTCCCCCCTTGCTGTCTCTGATACAGAGGTAGCAAGGCAGGGGAAGCAACTAGTTGAGTAGTGACTCTCGACTACCTAGGCTTATCGGGTAGTCAACTAGTTGCTTACATCCTTAGTGAGGTGTTTGGCTTATCAGGGCTAGAGGCATCCATACACTAGCCCCTCAATTAAATGGACATGCTTCTACTATCTATTCAAGTACTGAATAAAGCTAGTTTGCTCCATGCAGAGACAACAGCAGCTAAAAGAAAACATTTTAAACTTACATCTGGACACAGGCATGTTAGTAAGAAAATGCATAGTGAATGATTTCTCATTCTTGCTGTTGCAGTACATGAAATCACAGAGATGACAAAGAAATCAGGTGCACCAAAATCTGTTCACTCTGTTCAGACACAAAGGGTCATATGGACCACATTCATCTGATACTAAAAGAAAGCCAGTGGACAAGAGGAAGATGAAAAAACAGGGCT